ATCTTTGCATTTATTTCAGAAGTCAAGTGGATACTATTTTTATTTCTCTTATATCTTGCCTATATTACAGTCGTGTTATTTTCCAATCTAGACTCTAAACTCAAGGACAGAGAATATGGTTAAATTTCTCTGGTAGCCCATAAAGAATCTAGCAGTACCGTGCACGTAGTAGCTATTCAACAGATATTTCTTCAGTGAATGGATTTTGGATAGAAAGATTTACTGTAGCTTAAATTAATCAACCAAAAGTCATCATAAATACACTTCTGTAGCCATTATGCTGGGTACTGTGAGTAATAAAATGTATTTGATAAAAAATAATATGCAAATACTGAAAGGAACTGTGAATTATAAGGAATATAACAATTTTTTAAAATCACAATACACTATATTTTCTAAAATTGACTTGAGTTGGACAGTTTTAGAAAAATAAAGGAAAACATTTCAAATCAAATGCTTTACCACTTAGGAGACCTCTGAGAATGACCTATTTGTCTAATTTTAATAGGGTCCTCAGTACACCCTATAAAAACAAACCCCAAGAGCAAGACTAGTCCCCATTTGTGGTTTTCTTGGCAAAGATACTGGAATGGTTTGCCATTTCCTTCTCTGACTCATTTTCCAGATGAGGAAACTGAGGCAAACAGGGTTACATTACTTGCCCAGGGTCACACAGGTATTATTAAGTGTCTTAAGGCCAGATCTGAACTCAGGGAGATGAGTCTTCCTGACTCCAGGCTAGGTACTCTATTCATTGTGCCACCTACCTGCCTGTATTTTCTAAATAGGGGTTTACTAATTGAGTTCCTTAACCACTGTATTAGATCAGGCTACCTCTGGCCAGGAGAAAGAAAAAGCAAAGTAAAAATTTCAAGACTTTCTTTCCCTAAGACATCTGCCCAAAAGTTTTTTTTTTTTAGTAAAGAACAAAAACAAAACTCCATACTGATATCTGACATGTATACAGCAGCTTTAAGGTTGGCAAAGAGTTTTATGAACATTATCTCATTTGATGAACCATATTTTTAAGGCAGCTAAAGAAAACAAGAGGTATAGTAGGGAGGTGAACAAAAGGAAAAGGGGATGTTAAATTTAATATCTTCCTAAAATAAATTATATGACAGAAGTTCACAGTTTTGTATATGATCTTTAAAATTTATTTCTATATTGAATTGTTTGATTGAATAAAAAAGAAAATTTCAATATAAAAGGAAGATTCAGTTTTTCAAGCTAATATCTATGTCTAATAAGTATATAATCCACTTATATTTGTTGGCAACTATTTTAAATATTATTCTCTTGCCAATCTCATGAGTTTCCCCTTCAAAGTTTGTAACTAAAATGCCACAAACAAAACCAAGGATAAAATTTTGGATAACTGCTCTTCCTTTGAAGTTGTTAACAAATGCTAACACAGAAATGAGGAGATTTGTTGTACTATACTACATAATAATAAAAATTTTCAAACCTGTCTATTCAGGGAAGAGAACTAGAGAAACTAATAACTTTATCTGAGTAATTTAACGCTCCAGAAATAAATGCTTAGAGAGGTACAGAAACCATTACCACTTGCATATTCATTTCCTGTAAGTGAAACCGCAGAACATTAAAGTACTGTATGTATGTTGTTTTTTATTGGACCAGACCTATTATTTCATTAACATAAGTTACTTTTTCCACCAAAGCAAATCGAAACTAGCCTTAAAAATATAGTCTTACAGAGCTGCCTGGGGCACTGAGAAGATAAGTGACTTAAAAGGAGTCACAGTAACTAGTATGTGTCAGAAGCAGGGCTTGAACCCAAACCCTTCAGACTCCAATGCTTGTGCCTCTAGTTTTACCTTCATACTGTTTTTTTTTTTTTTAAATAGAATACATTTGCCTTGTTTAGAACTAAACTATAAAATACTATTTCATAACAAACCACTGGGGGGGGCAAGGGAGAAATTCTTTTACAAACTCTCAAACCTCTATTTGTCCCCCAATTTAGATAAGTTTGGGTTAAGATAAATTATCTCAATTTATCTGTTTATCTTAAATAGCTAATTAGTTGAAATCCACCTTTAGACCTCTCCCTCAAGAGTATGAATTACAAATTTTTTAAAAAGAAAAAGTTGTTTGTGCATTAGCCACACTGCCTCTCATCTACCTTATAGCCTAATGCTATAACATGCACAATGACATTTTTGGCAGAGGCTTCAGTACATTCTGTTTCTGATAAAAGAGAACACACACCCACCCTCAATAGTAGTTGCCAGCTGCTTAGTTTTCTCATTTGATTAAGAAGAATTTAAAGAGAAATCCAGTCACTTTTATTCTTTATTCAATCCACTGTCCATCACAGAGAAACTTAGTGAATATTAATTTAAGTTTAGAAGTAACATGTTATCAGCTATTTAATTTAAAACTTAAATTTAAAAGCTATTTGATTTAAAACTCTTCAGTATGGTTATTAAAAAGTTCTCCAAAAAAACATTAGAAATCATAAATTTCTTTAGAATCATGACCTTATTTATTTTTTTATCTCCCTCAAAATCTAGCACAATGACTTGCAAATGGCAGGCACTTAAAAATGTTTCTTCAATGAACTCAAACACTGAATTTCCCTTGTGCACAAAGGCCCAGGAAGGAGAAAGCTATTGGACGCTCTTGCCCTAAGAAGGGAGGAGAAACGTCAGAACAATTTAACATCAACACCTGATTATCTGCAGGAAGAATACAGTTCTTTTCGTCTATGATGTGTGAATTGATCCTATGATCTTTCAGGGACTTCCTCATCTGTAAAATGAAAGGTTTGTATTACAAGATCTCTAGGGTTCTTTCTTGTCCTAAATCCTATTTAACTCTAAGAGGTCCCTGTCCTCAACTCTCTTTCATCTATGTGTGATTTTTGTTCCTCTCTCTTAAAGACATTGATGGAAAGTGCCACATACATTACAGTGAAATGCCCTCTAGCTTAATATTAGGTATAGTGGAAAAGGTGCTAGGCCCACAGTCAAAAGACCTAAGGTTCAGATTCTAGCTACTTACTAGCTGTGTGACTGTGCAAGGGACTTAACTGCTCAGATACTGTTTTCTCATTTATATAAAAATGAAGACAGTAACTTGCAGTAACCACTTCATAAGGTTGTTGTGACTAAAGTGCTTAAATTGCTACATAAAAGTGAATAGTTAACACATAGGATCTTAGAGACCATACAGTTTTAGCCTCTTATTTTACATATGAGGAAACTGAGGTCTAGAGAGGTTAAGTCACTTGTTCAAAGACATAGAGATAGTAAGGGACAAAGAAAGGGTTTGAATTTGGCTTTTAAAGCTCTTCATAGCTTGGCTTCTTCTTACCCTTCCTGTCTAAAACTTACTCCCCCTAGGTACTGTCCGATCCAATGACATCAGCCTCCATGATGGTTCTGATACAGAAAACTCCCCCTCTCCCACTCTGAGCATGGCTGTCCCCCATGATTATTAAGTCCCTCCTCATCTCGGCTTTCTTCAAGTCTCAGCTAAATTCCCTCTTTCTGCAAAAAGCTTTTCCCGGTCCTCTTTAGTGTTTGTGCCTTCCCTCTGAGATTAGCTCCAATTTATTCTGTATATATTGTTTGTACATAATTGGCTACACATTGTCTTCTCCTTTAGACTCTAGCTCAGGAGTGGGGAACCTGCAGCCTTAAGGCCACCTGCGGCTTTCTAGGTCCTTGGGTGTGGCCTTGAACAAATACTTTTATCAAGGGGATTTGTTCTGTGAAGTTTGGATTCAGTCAAAGGGCCAAACCTGAGAACCTAGAGGGTCACATATGGCCTGGAGGCCAAAGGTTCCCCACCCCTGCTCTACCTCCTGAAAGCAGGTGCTGTTTTTTAACCCTTCTTTTCCAAGCACTCCAAACAGTATGGTGCTTAGGAGGCACCTTAATAAATGCTTGACTAGACCCAAGATCCTCAGACTCTCAATCCAGTCCTCTTTACAATTAAATTAAATTCAACAAATATTTATTAATGCCTGCAATAGCCTGCTGGTGGGTCTGACTGCCTCAAGCCTCTCTCCACTCGAAATCCATCCTGTATTTAGCCACTAAAGTGGTTTTCCTAAAACACAGATCTGATCCCATCACCCTGCTAGTCAATAACTCCAGTGGCTTCCTATCGCTTCCACAAATGCTCCGTTTGGTATTCACATACCTTTGAAACCTAACCCCCTCCTACCTTTCACGAACAAGATACTCCCGGCATTCTCATTGGCTATCCCTCATGGGAGTGGAATGGTTTTCTTCCTATGATCCAACTACTGACCTCCCTGGCTTCCTTTAAGTGTCAATCAAAATCCCACCCTGTACAAGAAGCCTTCTCTAACCCCTTTTAATTCCAGTGTTTTCCCTCTTTTAATAATTTCCTATTTATCATGTATACGGTTTGCTTTGTATATATTTGCTTGCATGTTATCTCCTCCATTAGACTATAAGCTCCCTGAGGGCTGTTTTTGGCCTCTTTTTGTATCCCCATTGCTTAGCACAGCACATAAATGTTTACTGAATCGCTATGTGCTAGGCACAGTGCTACTGATTCACAGAGAAAAGCAAACTCGACCAGAGACAAAATTTACCTCGTATCATAGGTTGACAGGTTAGCAAGCTATTTATGAAGTGTCTACTATGTGTCAGGCACAGTGCTGCTGATTCATAGGGAAGAAAAGCTGACCAGTAACAACCTCTATCTTGTATCAAAGTGGACCAGTCGGCAATCCACTTATGAAGCACCCTACTATGTGCCAGGTGTTGAATAAAACTGAAGTTGACCAGGGACTGTATTTATCTTGCATCAGTCAAGTCAACAAGCCATTTGTGAAGCTCCTATGATGTGCCAGGCACTGTGCTAGTGATTCACTGAAAAGAAAAGTGAAGTTAACCAGGGACAGTATTTATCTTGCATCAAAGTCAGCAAGCCACGTATGAAGCCAGGCACCGTGCTGGATCATGCTCACTTTGGGCCATTCGGGAGTCAAATACCTTGACTTGGTGTATGTATACTTGAATAACGACACGTTCTACGTCCAAGACACCTTTTTCTTTTTTTTCAGTATCTTTCATCAGCTGCGCCCACGCCTCTCCCGGGGGAGCCTGGGGAAGAGCGACGACCTTTGACCCGCAGAGGGCTTGGACCTAGGAGCCCGAGGGACACAGCCGGGCCTCTCCTGTCCCCTGGGCCCGGCCCCGAGCCGGCCCCGGCCCCAGGGAGCAGAGAAGAGAAGGCCCTGGAGGAGGAATGAGGCGCTGACTAGGCTTCTCCCCCACCTCACGCCGGCGAAGGGCCGTCCGCCCCCGCGGGGGGCCAGCCAGGTTTCCGACCTGCATTCGTCCCCCTCTCCCTTCCCCCGAGCCGCTGGGGCCGGTACTTACTCTCGTCTCCCTCTCCGCCTCCGCGCCGCCTCCGGGTCGGCCTGTGGGCGGGTTCTGCCGGCGGGGCCCCGGCTGCCCCCGGAGGGCCGGGCTCCACTCGTCCCTACGGGGCCGCAGCGCCGGGCTAGGTCCTCTCAGCAGGTGACGGCAGAGCCGGGCAGAGACAGCAGCGAGGGGAGGCGGCCGGATCCACCCCCCATCACGGAGCGGGGGGCGGGCTACTCACACTACCTCCCGCGCCAGAGGAGCAGGGGAGGGGGGCGGGACGAGAGGTGCGAGAGCACCTCAAGCCTCGCGAGACTTCTTTACCCGTGCCCTTTTCCCCTTTTGGGTCGCGGCGCGGAGATTTGACCGGTGACACTCTTGGACTACTCCCGCGAGAGGCACAGAACGTCTGACCCCTCCTCTTTCTTTTCTCCACTTCCTCCCTCCCTCTCGCTCTTCTCGGGCTCTCGGTGAGTCTCGCGAGCTTTGTCAGTGGAACTAAAGCAGGGCGGAGAGAGAGCAGGCGAGGGGGGGGCCCCTCTACCCTCTGGGGGCCGGATGCGTTTTAGCCGGTGCTGCGGTTCGTGCTGCAAGGCTAGCAAGGGTTCCCCGACGGCCCAGACCATCCACTCCAAGGGGTGACTAGGGGTCTCAGTCGGGGAGAAAGCCCGTAGAGGCCGAGACTTTTTTTTTCCTCCCTGTCTCCGCCCCCTTTCCGTATTTCGTGGCCTGGGCTTCCTGACCACTGAGGGGGAGGGGAGCTCGACGGGAGCCGGAGGGGCGGGACTAAGGGGAGCCGAACGTGGGGGGCGGGAATTAGGGGAGCTGCGCACGCGCGCCGCGCGAATGTGTTTGTATTTTTGCGTGCGTGTCTGTGTATGTATGAAACTGAAAAAGGGACCGGGGTGCAAGAAGATGAATACGATGCTCTCCTCTCAGTCGTAGCAGACACTCTTGGCCGTCTGCTGACCCTCAGCAGCCCATTCCAGAGAGGCTGTGGCTCCTAGCCTTTGGCTCGTTTCCACAGCAGGACCAGGCATAAAAGTAAGCCAATCTCTATCCTGAAGTTTGTATCCTATCCATCCACTTCGCGGTTTCCCCCTTTTCTGCATTTCCTGGAGATTTTATATCTGGTTCATTCTGTAAAAGAGCTTCCTTGCAGATATGGCATATATGAAACATGAAAGCAAGAAATGAAAATAGCTTGCGGAAACAAATCCTATGAAGTAGAAAGGTTCTTTTTGAAGAACACTTCAACATCCTTGCTATATGCGTTTCTAAGGTAGTCTGTTTAATCAGTTTCAAATATACAAGGGTTTTTTTTGTTTGTTTGTTTGTTTATTTGGTTTTTTAGTGAGGAAGAAATTGCCCATGAACAATAAGTCAAAACAAAACAGATAACCTAGATAGTAGGCCCCAGCAAATCACATTTTTAAGGGTTAGCTTATATCTGTGTCGATTTGGCTTTGGAAAGTCATCAGATAGTTAACTTTTAGTTTTTTAGAAGTTGATTAATATGATTTGGTCTCTTCCAGAACTTATATTATCACTTATCTCATTACCTGCTTTTTATTCGTTTTGTTGGTCATCAGAAGTTGCAAAGAAAAAAAAAAAAAAAAGGTCAAACTAGCTTAATTTTTACATTTTTTCATGATTTCTTAGGAATAAAGCCTGGAAGTATTGACTTTAAATAATTTTTTTTATTATTGTAAGTAGATAATATCAGTATAGTGCTTTAAATTTATAAAAACATTTTTCTCATGACAGCCCTGAAAAGTATGGACTTCAGTTCACATCATTACTGGACCCCAGACAAGTAATTTACCTTCTCTGAGTTTCAGATTCTCTAACTGTAAGATAGAGATAATTAAACTTGTACTCTCTCTCTTACCTCCACTGAATAGAAAGCCTCAGAGTCAGAAAAATTTCCAAGTCCCACCACTGAATCATTTGGCTATGTGACCCTGAACAGGTCACTTCTCTGTACCCCAGGCAAATTCCTCATTGGATGATTCTTAAACTAATGAAATAACAGGTCAGGTTAAAAAAAAGAACAATAACCCTTGCAGAGTTCTTGTAAAAAAAAAAAAAACAAATTGTAAACCGTTGTAAAAATGCTAGAGAAATGCATAAGATAGTACAAGCATTGTACCCATTTTACAGAAAACAATTGGAGTACAAAGAGGTTAAGTGATTTGCATAGGGTCACAGAGCCATAACTCAATTCTTTTGACTGTTAGACCATTGTACTTTTCACTGCAAACCATGAAAGGGTTGAATATGGAGAGCTGACTATATAAAATTGTTAACATTGAATATATTTTGAGGACACAGTGACCTAGGGGTTAAAATATGCACCAAAATGTTATGTTCAGTGACAACTTCAGTGAAATAGCTAATATAAAGATTAATTTTTCCAGTTGTAATACAGTAAAAGTCCAACATAACATGGCTTATACCAAAAATTGAGAAACATTTTGATTAGAGTTGAGACCTTGACAAATTATGCTTCCAACTTGTAACATGAATATTATGTTCCTTACCAAGTCTTCATTATGGAGAAATTAGATATTAGTCAGGATTTGTTTACTTTTTGATCTGTCTGTTGTTTACTTTTCATCTCATATGTCTATTTCCTTTCAGGTAAAAAAAAAATGAAAATTTTTTCTGAGTCTCATAAAACAGTATTTGTTGTGGATCATTGTCCATACATGGCAGAATCATGCCGACAACATGTAGAATTTGACATGTTGGTGAAAAATAGGACCCAAGGAATCATACCACTGGCACCCATATCTAAATCATTGTGGACTTGCTCAGTAGAGTCTTCCATGGAATACTGCAGGATTATGTATGATATATTTCCTTTCAAAAAGCTGGTAAGTATTTAGTGTCTCAGATGTGCTGGAAATCATGAATTTGAGATATACTTTATTTGCGTATATGTATTTTAATTATATTGGTATTGCTTTAGACTGAAAAGATCATAGTACTGCTTGTATTCCATTTAGTATAAGAATTATCTCTTTGAGATTAATATATGATGATTGCATAATTAAGCCTGGAGAATTTGGCAGTATTAAGAAAATTATATTCTAAAGAGTATCAAGGGGATTACTCTTTTATACTTAAGTGAGTTATGATCTTGTCATTTCAGATACTTAAGTATTTATTGAGTGCCTGCTTCATATGAGGCACTGTGTTAGATGCCAGAGAATCAAAGAAAAAAATGAAACTGTGTTTGCACTCAAGAAGCTTATATTCTATTGGAGAGAAATAACTTGTACACATAGATGTACACAAAACATATACAGAGTAAATGCAAAGTAATTCTAGAGGTAGAGAGCCCAGGCAACTAGAGGATTCAGAAAGGGTCTTTCGTGGGAGGTAGCAATTGAGCTGTACTTGGAAAGAACCTAAAGCCTCCAGGAAATGGATTTGAGGAGGGAGATTATTCCAGGCCTGGGACACCCTGTGCAAAGGCCTGGTCGAGAGTGATTCCATGGCTTGTAGGGGACACAGTAAGTAGGCTAGTTTGTTCTCCCTTGACTAATGTAAGTCATGATATTTAGTAGACATTTTTTTGTGACTTTGCTGTGGCAGAAAAAAATTCATCATCTGATGAATAGCCTTTTGGGGATGAACTTCTCTGTGTTTAATTAAGCTGTTTTTCTGTGAATAGTCTCTTGCTGGGACTCACCTTGAAGTTTTTCTAGCTTGTAGGGAGCTGCTAGAACTTAAACAGTATAGTGAAAACCTCAGGATTATCTTTACACCACTAAGGGGCATCATAGTAGGCCTTTAGTGAAAATACTTTTAAAATTAGGATAATCTATTAGTTTAAAGGCATATGGAAGATTGATAGGTATTTTCTGTTAACATTTTCTTCATGATTTAGGATTACATCTTCAAGAATGTTAACTTGATATACAAAAGTGGATTTTTATTTATTTGTTTATTTTTTGCTTTGTGTAATATTGGAGAAGAGAGAAGGAATCTCTCATCTCTTTAGTTATTTAGCTGGGTTTCAGATATTTTTTAGTAAGGTGGATATTGTGGAGTCTAATGTGAGAGTCAGGTATGTATATCTGGCTGTACTCTGAAGTCAGATATCAAGGAATTTTAGATTATCTGTGACTTTTTTTTTTAGTGGAAGGAAGGGAATGAACTTGTGATTTCATCAGTTTTAGGAAACTCCTGTAGAGAAAACTTTCTACACCAATGTGGATTGGCCATTCATCATGGGATAGACCTCAGAAAAGGGTACCAGAGTCATAAGAAACATATTGTTCAGAGTCAAGGAAGTCAGTCTAAGTATCTTTTAAGTTGCCCAGGAAATAGAGGACCTACCTAAGGCAAGTGATGCTAGTGCCAGAGAGACCTTAAGAGAGGAAGCAGTGGTTAGTTTAAGAAGGGTTCCCAAGACCAATTAAAGGAAAAGAGCAAAGACTAGAATACACAGTAGTGGGAAACTAGACCCAGATACTAGCAAAATTGAACTGTCCTTGAATTATGAAGTTATATTTCCTAACTTGTTTCCTAACCATTCTCTTTCTTTCCAAGGCTGTATGGATGATAGAGATGTCACACACACATACATATATTTTTTATTTTTTGTTTTATGTTCTTGACTTGTGATTTCATTTATGTGGAAATTTACCTCATCAGTGTAGATTGGCAGTTTATCTTTAGAGAGTTGACTGGGCTACTGAGGG